TGAAAAAACTGCGTGAATTTTTCACTTTCAGTGTCTTGACGCTTTTAAGGTAATACGATAATATGGAGCCACTGAATCAACATTATTGGGTACACTTGTTAACTCACAAGTCCCTGTAATTGTGTATATGTGCAAGGTCATTTGAAGTTGTTTGCTCTTCTTTTAATGACTTCCGATAGCTATTTCATTTTCTTGATGGCATTCATGCGAAATATGTATTAGGCGTTTAGAAGTCCTACACTACTAAAGTATGCATATATTAATTGATTGTGTGGAAAGTGAGATTTCTCTTATAGTACAGGAAATAGTTTACTCAACATGTTCGTAAGTTGTGATTTTTTTCCATCCTACTTCTAAACTATACACCACACATCTAATCTACGTTTTCAGTGTTAATTCATGTGTTACACGTTCCTTATAGTATTCTCTTCGTATATATATATATATATATATATATATATATATATATATATATATATATATATATATATATAAATCATACTTTATATTGTTTTCATCATTTTTGTTTTTCTGTTTTCCCATCCAATGTCTGACTTTTGAAATTTTGCAATATCTTTTCAAATTGGTTCTCCATTCGCTGGTATGATTTACACATATAAAAATATTGGTTCTAAGTAAGTATTCAATACGCTAACTTCACTGTTGTATTTTTTATTTACTTAAAATCCTTTTTTATTGCATATGGTATTGTGGATCACTACTGAAGTGGGAAGCGGAGCAGTTGTGTTTTTTTAAAGTGTGTATATGTTCGATCAATCCCCTACCTCTTTGCTATGAATAAGTATCTCATTTTTAAGTTTATTGTTACATTTCTTGGATAATAAATAAGTTAGTCTCCACTCATCTTTGTTGGTGAAGCGTTTGACGGTGTCAAGAAGTTTGTGTAACTGTATTTTCTTGGTTGTAAGTGGTGATGTGGTTTTTTAGATTTCCAAACGTATATTGAAGATCAGAGCCGCAAACACCAATGTAGGTTTCCTTCAACCTCATCATGGATGTTAACTTTGGTGCGGGAAATTTCAGTAAGTACCTATTAAACCGTATCTCTTCAAGCTGAATATTTCCAATGACTCTTTATCTTCGATTACCGTTGTTTTCGAGGAAAACACTATGCAGTTGATCTTTGAATTGAGGTGGTATATATTTTGGTGTGATGGAGATCGTCATTTCTTGAGTGAGCCTACCTTGAAACACCAACTTCAGTGGCCTAGGCATGTGTTACACCTGTCTTTCAGCGGCTCTCATACCGCTAGCGCACTGTTTGCTTGCCACGGAGAGTTGTGATAACGGATAGTTGTATAGGGTTGGCATCTGTAGGTACCTCCCAGCTTTCTGGGTAGAATTTGAGAGATTGTACAACTGAATGGCTTAAAACGATAGCACATACCGTTCTAAACGAGTAGCGATCATACAGCCATTTTCTTGTTTTTTCTAATGCTGAAAAGTAAAATGAAAGCGGTGAGCGCCTCTGAATATTTCTTTGAGACTACTTTCTTAATAACCCACTTTTCTTTTTATACTTATTCTTGCTTCCGTTTTCTCTATTTTCGCAGTGTTGCTCTCTATTATTTTGTGTGGCCTATCCCTTAGTGCCTATGCTGTACCAAGTTTATGTACTAAATAATCGTGATAATTTCATGAATATGACTGGATCTGTGGAAGTAATCATATGAGGGAACTAATACAGGACACAAGCAAAATATGTTGAATGGTTGCATCCTAGTGTAGGAAACGGCAAGATGGAGACGAAGGAAAACATGCTTATTACTGACATCTTGTGCAGTAGTCATCAAATATTGTACACTTTCCACTAAGACGGTCGTTTGCAAAATATGCTTTATTTCCTCTTCTGCTTCTATCTTGATTTGTTCTTAATACGCCCACATTGTCTCTCGCGTTTCTCTTGGCAGAATCTTTCGCCATTGCCAGTAATTGCCTATGATTTCTGCAGACCTCTCAACATATACTACTTATGTCCATTGTGATCAGCAGCGCCCACTACAATACTACTATGAAATTCACTAAACCCATTATACCAACAAAAATTAAATGAAATCTGTGCTGTTTTCAAAATCGAATTACAAACAACTATCAACACGTCATATTCAGAATTATGCAGAAGGAACCTAGAATTATTGTAATTGTAATACAAATATTTCTGACAGTTCTAAAAGTTCAACTGATCAATTCGCCTGAGGTTTCACAGAACATTTCTAGTAAACTCAGTCACAGCATTAATTAAATATGCATATTTACACTAAGAAAATCGCATTAGCATCAACCCATTTGCATTAAACAGATAACCAACAGAATTGTAATGTCAACTAAAATAGCATATAACGAGCACAGTCACTGAAAATGTTGTTGTATATGCTAGCACTTTTCATAGCTTGTTCAGATATCACTCCCTATGTAACCACAGGCTGTTGATACGTTTTCGTCTAGTCTGTAGGTATGTAGGTAAGTGCGTTGTTGCAGGGGGCGCGTAGAGCAGTGTGAGTTTGGCGGTGACCACGAGAATCTGGAATTGAAAGGGGAAAAGAAACAAGTGAACGGATGAATCAGCAAGTACACAAAATGTACTTACATTTAATAATGAAAGATAACTGACAAATGGTAGAGCTTGGCAATGAAGAGGTGAGGCAGCCTAGGAATCGAAACTGGAAGGTTTTGAATGCGTTACAATTGTATTGTGTATGAGTCATGTATCTATCTAAATAGTGACAAATTAGCACAAAATCTTTGGTTGAAAACAAGTAAATTATCCCTCCTTGCCGAGTCAGCGGAAAACCTACATTATCCACTCCTTCCCGTCTTTTATTAGGCACTTTTTAAGATCAGTGAGGAAACAACTATTCCAATAAATTGCTTTGAATCATACAGTCCCATGAAAACGTTCTTCAAAGTGATAAACTGTCAGTCGGAAGTCTGAAATATTTATTTCTAGTTGTATATCTTTTCTATTACTATCACTGGGTGTTGTTCAGCCTCTATAATAATAACGCAAATTATTGTTTCTACTCAATTTTTTAAAGGCATTAAGGTAGTGTATCTGTGTTTACCTGTAGTAGAAAATAACCTTAGTTCTTGACTATACTTTTGCCTGAATACTACATCCTTGTAATGATGCTAATCTTTCATATTCATTTCAAGATTGATTTTACCACTGGCATTTTTCGTCTGCATTATCACCCGTGTTTAGTGCGACCAGGTGTAAATTTTTAAGTTCAAGGGGCAGGTTATATTGGTGAGGTTGTAAACCTTCATTGCCACAGACGACTGAGGCATGTGTTACACATGCTTAGCGATCGTCCACCTTGCCACTCAATATTAGGTTCACACTGAAAAATAGTTGAAGGTGACTAAAATGACACATGTCATCAGTGTTGTGTACGCAAGTGTAGGGGTTTGTGGGATGACCGAGAATTGGTGTCGGGAAGGGAGGAGGGGGGGGGGGTAGATACACCCTTACATTATCTGCATCTTAACTGTCAAATCAAATTTTATATTAGTCGCTTATCCTTTGTTCTTCTCTTCTTATGACTTTCGACAACTTTTTGATATGAGGTTGTCGTAACTTGAACCGTTATGCAGTAACACTACGCCCTATTCTGGTTTTCACTGGCTGACTATTATTACCATCGTCATATTAAACTGTGGTACTTACTTGTTATGGGATTATTTACCATGTTAGGTTTCAAGCTATTTGAATAATGCAGCTTCATTAATTTTTTTACGTAGGTGTTTTATAAAAAGCTATCACCAATTTAGCTAGGCGATATAAATAAGTTCAAGGGCCTACTATTACTTCATATTATGTGGTAGTTAGATGATTGTTTTGGAAAAGTAAGTGAAATAGTGACGTATATCACGTACACAGATGTTAGGGTTTACGAAATCGATAAAGTCTATTCGTGATACATTTTACCTTCAGCTAAGTATTGTTCGGTTTACTATTTACATTAAACGCTTTTAGTGTTACCTACCAATGAATTACGTATGCATTTTATAATCTGTTTGTAAATGTTGTGAATCAAATAATTCTTGCTTTTATTAGCGGATCATTTAAACATTGTAGTATCCATTTACTGAGATATTTATCTTGCTTTTTTGTTTATTGTGTACATGATCTGCACATTTCATGGACAACAAGAAATGCACCATACAACTTAGATTTGAACGGAATCAGTTAGATAGTTTATGAGCTGCATTGAAATAGTTTCTAGTGACTGAATTAGATTGGTATGTTATTCGTCACTATTTCTGTAGCCCATATGACTATCGGCTTGGGATCAGAGTTTTTCAACTTGACAACTTTCACCGTTATGCGGTGACTTCAAGCTGCAGACTGACATATCAGTATAGAACCTGCCACAGAAAGTCCTATAGTGACATTGACTAACTCCCATCGAAGGACTCTGAGTATTCAGTAATCCTGTACCACATAACAGACACCCTTACCCCCAATGAAGTCCGTGAGAGTGAAGCTGTGGCCCATTAGTTTAGAAAGATGACTATGAACTAGTAGTTCATGGGTTCGAACTCTCCCTCACCTACCGAGGTTTCGGCAGCGACGTGGTGTCACTAGCCCTTACACAGTAGGTGTGGCCCACTGCCTGCTACACAGATGAGCACAGGGTAGTTGAATGTGTTTCTTTTCTTTCCTTCTCGAAGTCGCTGAGTAGGGCTTTCTTGGCAGAGACTACTGACATCTGATTGCATGAGAGAATTTCCGAAAACCTAACCGAATCTTTCTACCCTTGACCGTACCAGCGTATTTGAGAGGATCCTGTTAACCTTAATTAACTTAAAACAATTTACTGTTGTTGTTTTTTTTTTACTTAAGTTTACCTTTTAATCATCCAGTTATTTGTATTAACGTTTTCGTTCTTGACTAAAAGATCTAATGTTTTCAATTGTTTTGTTTCCGTTGACTTTTCCTGTTTCAGATATTCATTTTACTGTGCTATGTGTAATAGGAGGCAAAGATTCATCATCGGTTAAAAAACGTCACCGGCGTATCAAATCAAATCCTAAGAGTAATAATGCTGATGGTTCAGGTAAGTAAATCCATCCCAATTTCATCATCATCATTATTATTACTGGTAGTATCTTTTCAACTTCTAGCGATTTGAACTATTGTATATGGAATGTAATGATTGGTGTACATTGAAATGTTGTATGGATGCAGTTGGATTTTATCGGTGACGCAGGCTATCGCGGAATACAGACATGATAGTGTGAAATGAGATGATCAATTTGTAAACTCTTTACAAATTGCACGGTACATGTAGACATTTCTCACAGCTGAGTAGTTTTTCAACTGCCCAACTGTGATACCAACAGAGTTTTCGTCGGGAATCACTCCGTCAATAGTGAATTTGTGGTTCATTGGTTGATGGAGATGAGTTTTAACCAATAGGTCACATTTCGGAGCCCTGCCCAATCTACGGAGGTTCAGGCAGCCAGGTAGTACCACTAGTCCCCACACAATAGGTGTGATCATTGTTTATTCCATGAATGTGTAAAAGGCTGCTGAGTACATTTCGATTTTTGAGTCGACCCAGCCAAGGTCACTAAGTGTGATCTCTGACACGGAAGTGTTACTAAACAACTTGAGTAGTTATGAACCATTTGGGTTGATCTGTCGATTTCGGAAACCAGATCGGAATGATCTTAACACTGGACGACTGTTTTATTCATTTAGGGTCAAGATCATCAGCGGGGTGCCCGGACAAGTTCAGCCCACAGCGCCAAACTGTTCAGATCACCCGTGATGTACAGATCAACCTGAGTGGTTTTTTAACTATTCAGTCTGTTGAGTAGTATACTTCGATATGACAGTGCTATTAAGTATCTTTATTTCATAATCTAATGGTTTGTAGTAATTGAACGAGTGTATCCTTTTATAGCTTGGAATATCATTTCACTTTTGTAATGAATCACAAGTAACCTCTGAATAATTGTAGTTGGCTCTAGAAATTTATTTTGAGGTTTGAAATTTTTTATTCCTAACATTTTCTAAAGCAGCCCACGCAAATAGGTTAAATTTTCACTTACAACTCAGACCTATAGTCTGCGAGTTCGTGGATTATTCTATACCTTACTGTATTCATTCTTGTTGTTCTGACATTCTAGTCTTCCTACCCAAGGATAAGTACCAATATCTGTTGTCTTTTGCACATGGGATACTGGGATATCCAGTCGTTTTCTAGGTTTCATCGAAGCAGTAATTCATCTCCATTCATCCATCTTCGAATCGTAGCTATCGAAGTTGTAAGGCTTCTGACTATATTTTTATGACGTTCGTATCTTGTTTATTTAACCCAGCTAATAATGCTCCTTAATCATTTAAGAGTCGTATTACAAAAATGTTTTTCTAACCCCCATGATCCAAGCTCTGTATTTCGAATGTGCGAAATTATGCAAGCCTCGAGTTGTTTAGACGGGGAAGTGAGAAATTTATGAATTCTCTGATTGGTCACCTGGATCAAGCAGTCTTTCTTTCGGTAGTTCAGAATTCAGCTAAAATCGATTGTTGTCTTATTTTCTTCAGTTCTAATCGTGATTCTTCTCCATCACCTTCATTGTTTTTTTCCCTCGTGGCTGAATTCCTCTTATACTAATGTAAAGTGTAACAATCTGTACCAATGCGCATTTGTTTGCATGGAAACTGTATAAAAGTCAGTTAGCTTCTATTCAACTAGATGTATCCTATATCGATTTATGTACAACGTACTGCAGTTGAACACTTGACAAAGTGTACGTGACACTTTTTCTCCAACTTTTACTTAGATGCGGGCAGATACCACTACTGTTGTGTAGTGATCTGCCGGTTAGACTACATGGTCAAGGTATGGATTTCAACACCTGGACTTCAAATGATGGTCGTTAGTAGTATTATTACTCATTCTGCAAAACGTTTCATTTAAAACCTGATAAATGAACATGGATCTAGTTGAAGCGCATTATCGTTGAATACAGATGGTTGAACTCTTTACTTTACTAAAAACTCAAGAATCAAAACAAGAAACAAATGAATCTACGTAGGTCACATATATACAAAGATATGATCAAGTTCATCTATGTGTAATTCGACTTTGAAGCAAGTAATAATTAGTCAAGAGTAATATGGACGTAAGCAAGCACTGAGTAGCTTCCTACAAATAAATTAAAAGTTGTACATTCCAGTCCACTTCCAAAGCTATATGTCTCATTAGTAAACAGGATCTTGTACGTTCGTTATATTCAAGAATTTGGAAAATTTCCTCTGAAGAGATACATTAGACAGTGAGCTATGATTTCCACGCAACATTCCACTAGAAAACAGTTATCCATCTGAATTCGTTGACTCTAACATGAAAGAAAAACTACTAATTTTAAAAACACTGGTCATCTTAAAAACAACTCCTTACATGAACCTGGAATTGAAAGGTGATATTGTAACTGAAATCCTTGAAAATCATCTCTCAAAATCTCTGAGGAAAACATTTCACTCAGATAGCTTGAAAATCATATTTTTCAGCGGAAAATTAATCCATCAATGCGTTGAAGACAATATGCATCTACCAGTTTACTTGTTTCTGTGAAGCAAAGTGCATTAACCGTACACAGCATTAAGTTCGTAGGAGTATTTTGGAACATTGTCCAGGCTTTGTCATCTAGTAGAGAGAGAAGAAACATCAATTCTATTGTTGAAGATCTTGTCACTTCCGGACATCTAACCCCTAGTAACTGGAAAATATTTTTTGCTCGATCCTTAGAATTACTAGAATGGACTAGGTATCTGGAAGTGGCATGGTGTTGAACAATAGAACTGGTGATGGCTCTTCTCTCTTCTTTGGATGACTAAGCTGGACAATGTTCCAGAATACGCCTCCTAGTAATTCCTTCAAAGTAATTTACAGTATCCTCTTACAGTTCTAAAAGCTTCCAACAATCTTAAACTTGTTCTGTGTGTTCAAAAACGTTACGTGCATTTAGTAGCCATATTATGACTGAAGTAGAAATTTTCTTCTCTGTTCTACTCTTGAACGTGTCTCTATTAGTTACCAATAGAGCTTTATTTGATCCCAGTGATTTTGAATACTATTATATGGCTTTAAGAAATGTGAAATCGTCGAGAAGAAAATTTTCTTCGCTATTTCATTTTTGTTTAGAATAAAATTCATTTGTCATACTTCTAAAATGTTATGGTAATACTTTGAAAGTATATTATCATTTTATTTGTAATAAGCCTAATTAAATTTTTCCGATTACTTTGTTACACTGAACATTGTGATCAAATTTTATAGCTTAAATTATCCTACCATACTGTTATTTCAGATTCAGAGGGTTATGAATTTCAGTTGATATCAATGGATCGTCAATGGCATTTTGAAGCAACTGGTCCAGATGAACGCGATGAATGGGTCATGCATATTGAACGAGCAATTATGACTAGACTTCAGTTGAATGAATCGAGTAAACGTACTCGAGCTATTGCTGCTGCATGTAACGCAGGCGGTTCAAATCACTCCTCAAATTTTAGTGGATTAGGTTCAGGAGCTGGTCGACATGGTGGGGCTGATTCTAACAGCTTAAACTCAAGTCGTTGTGGAGCTGGAGATGCTAATGAATTGGCTGTCACAGAGCATTTAATCCAGAATATAAGATCTGCTGCAGGAAATGATTTTTGTGCAGACTGTGGTGCATCAGGTAAGCCAGAAATTTCTGTCACGAACTTTCTTTTGTGTGTATTGGAGTTCGTACTTTCATGTGCGTAATACTTTAAACGATAGCGTCATTTTTATTGCATTGTGACTGGTGTTATGTCGAATTTACGTGTTCACAGCACGCCTTTAACAAGCGTATGAAATCAACACGAAATAGGGCTGGGATTACATGACTTCACTACTTCTGAATACATTCAAGTTAAGTATATTGCAAGCATCGAAAATACTTATTCGAGTAAATAAAATCCACTTTAAAATTATGACTCCTGAATTGGAAGCAAGTGTATTGGAAATTATTATTTGAAACTGTCACGATGTAAAATTCATACTGAATCTCTAAATTTTTCTGAGGTAGAAAAGAGTATCTGATACTCTGGACAAGAAGGTAAAGCACTATATCCCGTTTAACTACACTCAGTATGCTGGCTGGTGTTTTATTGGTACTAGTCGACACAATTTGGTTTGTTTATCAAACAACCATCTAAATAATACTGGGTAATGGTTGAAGGTGAAACGAAGATTTTGATCGCTATAGAATTCAAACCAGGACCTCCAGGTTTCCGGCTCAGTGCTCTGCCAACTGAGCTACGAGACCAGACCTTTGACCAGATCTTAGTTTCACTTCAATCACCAAGGGTTTTACCCTACTGTCGTGATTTCTTAACTCGTTACTATCGCTTGGTTGCACTCACACTGGCTGCCCAGTGTCAATAAAAATCTGGTGAGATCACTTAGCTCAGTTGGTAGAACACCGGGTCGTAAACCCAGTGGTCGATGATTTGAATCCTGCCGTCGTCTAAATTTTCATTTCACCTTCAATCATCATCCATTATCAATACAAGTTTACCAAATCACAGTCATCTCAGATAGTTAACCTGTTAATCATGTAAGTCATATGTTTATATTATGAGATCTTATCTTTGGAACTTCTAGTGTCTAGAAAAGTCTGCGAACGTTTTGTGTTTTCTTTTTCTGCGAAATTTGTGTACCTTATAGCATTTACGAAATTTTTCAGTAACGAATATATCCGTATATTATGTTTGCCTTAGAATATGAATAAACTGTTGATTACCCCTCAAGATTATTGTCTGATCTGATAGTCGTCTGTGCCTTACCGTACTGTGGAATAATACGATATGTATTGCTAATTCATGCTGAGTGTACTACTTAGTATGTAGATGACACTTGACGACCATGTTGTAATGGACAGGATCTGTGATTTTACCTTTCACTCATCAGATAATAAATCACATTACCAATCAATTTATATGTACACAATTCTTTACATGTTGGTGGTTATTGTACAAGCTATCACCTGATTAGAATACTACATACAAGTGTTAGTTGCCAGGATTGACTGATATCCCTATTTCTAACCGACATTTTAGTTGACTTTGCCCAAAGTAAACTTTTATGCCAAGAATCTCTTTGATCTATGTTTGGTTTAAGATAACTAGTCAATCTGTTAGGTTACGAATAAAAGAATTGATGGCATATAGTCTTCAAAACTGAGAAGAACGTACAGTTTATCTTGGTGAAATATGGTGGTTGGAGTTTGGTAGGTCATTTTTTCAGTTAATAGACTGGTATAAGTTCTGCTAAAATACAGTATGAATTCCAACTCCAGTCATTATTTCCATATTTAAAACTCAATATATCAGTAAAAATGACTTCAGATTGATATTAGTCACGGACTGACATCAGTTGGAAAAACATTCAAAACCTGGGAGCACTGGGCAACTGTTTCGTCCTAATGTTGGAACTCCTCAGCAATAGCTCAGTAGCAGCGTTCTAGCCACAGAACCTGAAGGTCCTGGGTTCGATCCCTGGAGGGATCATAGATGTGCGCCACTGAGGAGTTTCACGGAACGACGAAACAGCTATCTAGTGCTTTCAGGTCTCCAGTATTTCTCCAGCTAGTATTAGTCCGTGATGGATACCACCTTGGAATCAATAACTCACTCCCCATATCCCTGCAAATTGAAAAATGACTTTGATTGGCTGGAATAGTGGTAATCTTTTCTAGCTCTAACTATCCCGACAGTTAAGTATCCAAAAATCTCTTTGTTTAGGAGGCTTGAGTTATGGTAACCTTTAACATCTCTATTCAATTTAACCAAATGCTGTCACTGATCAATGCACTAACTACTTTTAAGTCTTGGACTTTTGTATGTTATTGAACATCTTTTATTATTTTTTCTTTTATCTTGTATTTATTGATATGATTAATTTTTTTTATTCCAATCTCCTCCACCGTTGAATTCTTGTCCTAATGTTAAGGATAAGTATTTTTTTTAAAAAGCAATATGTTGTGATTATGCTGGTTGTCATGTTGTCACATCACACATTCTCTGTGGATGCGTGACTGTTTCTTTTATGCATTCTTCATGATTCATTACACATTGATTTCTTACTTGACCGGCTGCTTATTTGTACCTAGAATGTATTTTCTTAAGAAATATCTTGTATGATCCAGGGTTTATATGCCGATACAATGCTCCAACGCGAAACGATTAATGATAGGACAATGACCTCATAACACGACATTCAGATGATACCAGAAGAAGACGATGAGATTGAAAGTAAATTTACTTCAACCTAATAGATGAATGAAGGAATTCATAGCTGAAAATTCAGTTGTTTATATATCCTTAGAAGGCTTTGGCCAGGGAAAACAAAAGAGCAAATTAAAAGTATAAGATGGACCAATCAGCATTTAGTATCCTAAACTGTAGTAGTAATAAGTAACACTGCATGGCTTTATTGTACACCTTTTTCTCAGGGGTGTGGATGTATTTATGTCTTATCTTCATCATAAAAGTTGTATCCCATTTTCATATTCACTTCAACGTCTATATGCAAGAGATACATCAACTGTGATGACTATAGTAACCTTGGAAAAATACCACCAATGTTCAACAAATATCACAATTCAATCGGGTTTACCATAGAAGGGAGAATTTCACTTCCTAGACGTCGTTCTACTGAGAAGAAGACATAATACTTCCCTAAGATCGATTTACAAGAAACAAACCTGGAATGGTGAATATACTCATTTTCAAATCTGGGTTCGACTAGTCAAGGAAAAAAAAATCTAATTCATTTACTATGCACAAGAATTAGAAGAAATTGTACGCGTGATGCAGTAAATAAGGAGTTGGAAGTGCTTCGAAAAGTGTTCATCATGAATTGTCATCCTTCAATGTTCATTAAGAGGAACATGAGGCTTTAATGCATTTCAAAGAAGTAACCCTTATAGTTCCAAAGAAGAGACTATTTATGAATTTTGCATTCTAAGCAAAGATACTCAAGAATCGATTGTGTAAAGCACTGAAGACCCTTTTTTCCGCCCAACTTTGAATTGCCTTCTCCACTCACTAACTGATTCGATAGTGTGTAAAGGATGATACACTAGATCAGAAATTAATTTAAAGAATCAACTCAGTTTGCCATTTTGTTCCCACTGAAGAAATTCGCCGTCATTATTCTCCGCTTCATTTAATCAAGGACTATAAAGTATCAAGTTGTGATAGCATTTTTAAATGTGCTTAAGGTCCGTATAACAAGTATCTGCTTTCTTTTTATAATAATGACCCGTAGAAAATCAAAGTAGATCAGGTGTTTGTAAAACTATAGAGTAATATTTAAAGATTACAAAATCAAGTTAACACCCAGGTGCAAAATTTCATCTGCCTTTTCATTAGAGATGAGAAATGGGAGGATATTCAGATCATATTGTATATAATTCTCTTGACCACCATGCATAGCGTCAAAATTGTGACCCGTAAAAAGATGTATAATAAATACATCAGTAATCAGATTACCATAAGATTGAATGAGTTCACTATTCCCTGCTATCCAAGTCTTAAAGTTGTTTTGTTTTAGTTCAATTAGGCTGTTCTTCCTTTTATCACCTGACAATAGATCACTTTACTGGTTAACAATAAAACATCAGCAAACAGTCAGCAGGTTGAATGAAATTCAGCCAACTAATCTATGCATAGAAAAAAATAGTGCCATCTTTTCACTGGAAACATTCAATCTGAATAGGTCTGTAGGCATTAGCTAGTCTGTTCTGTTTGATTGTAATCAATATGCTCTTTTCTCTTCAGAAGAAGAAACAATTTCAGTTTCCACCCTTTTCGCTTCTGTAATTTTTGATTACTTTCCGTTGATAATAATAAGGTTTCTCAGTAGGCAAAGAAGAGACACTATTCACCCATCAATCATCTTATGGTCTGTACTGTTTATTTGTCTACCTACTGGTATACATCTCAGTATCAATATCACTGTGATATAAGTAGGGATGCGAGCTTGTTTGAGGCATACATTTGTCATTTTCCTGTAGCAATAACATTTACGTTGTTGTTGTTATTTTTTGCTCCCTTAAATTTATCAAGCAGTAAGCCTTTTTTGTCTCATTTTATACTGACTGTATATTTCACATCGAATAATGTTTGCCGGAATGACTTCTTTGCTGTCTGTATCTCATATTAAACATTTCAAGTGATAAATGAAACCATCTTCAATCTTATTAATAAATCAGCATAGTTTTCCGCTATGATTGTTTCACTTACATTGATAAATTACCGGTCACAATTTCTAACTAAATAGCCTATATAGAGGCTGATTGTTAATACAATGCACAAATTGAAAAATAGAATGAGAGGAAAGGTCATTCACATGTGATACGATACACCAGGCTTTATGAATGTTTTTTTACAGCTAGTAGTCTCGAATCTTGACTTATTCCGGGTCTCCTTATGATTTTATTTGTCTCTTTTATGACAATATCTCAGCGGAGCAGTGCAGTGTAATTCCACTGAAATACTTCTGATATTCTTGTCTTTCTTCTATCCAGTCACAAACAATGCAAACGTTGACTAAATTGGAAACAAGAATAAAGGTGACGATTGTTCTATGTAAAGCTGGAAGTTCAAACCATCTGAAAAAGAAAGAAAATCAGCATACATTAGAGAGGATAAAGTGTGTAGACATTGATGCCACTGTGATTTATTTTCAAGTTGGTTGTCGGAATTCTCTAACCCTTGATTTTAATTACCTTTTACTAATTATATAGTATGCTGAATAACGTAGACAACTATCATAGAATTCATTTCTCTCATTTTTGAATGCGCCAATTGACTTTATAGACCTATGATGTCTTATGATTATGTCTTTTATTGAAAGAGGTATCTGAAAAATACATCGCCTAAATAAAGGTTGTTTTTTGAAACATGTGCAATCACCTCATAAACTGAACTAATCTTTGCGGTTACTGTAATGATTGATGTCCAACTGAGATATCTGTTTTCTACGTTTTAATCATGGTAGTTTTCACATGAATCACACATTCATTTAACGATAAGAAATTGACTGACTTGCTGACTTACTTGATCGAAGTTGAGTTGAAATACTCCTTTTTGTTTAAGGCGCTTACAAATTATAGCTTCTTGAACACCGCGAACGGTATCGTGACCCTTCTGGATAGCCAGATAGACAAAATCAACCTAAAACCTTGCACACAGGTCCATCAGCTCAAACTACCACACTTCATAGTAGAACAGATGAACAGAAAAAGAGTGGTATCAAAGCAGATAAATGGGTATGAGATAAAATACAGTCTGAAGATAGTGGTTTGTGCTAATATTCAAGCTTTAGAAGGTATCATGAAGTGAATACATCTGCGCCATTCTTATTGATTTCTAGATGTATGTGATTTATTTCGTCTAAGAGATCTCAGCCAACCAGCCTACGTCTTACCACACAGCTCCGACGAATACTAAGAGACTTCATCGACTGGTGGGACGTCTTGGTTTGACCACTCCGAACGCTTTTCCAAACTAATCTAGGTTCCTTCCTAGCATTTCACGTCGAGATAGGCAGTGACTTGGTATGCATAATACACATCCAAGCCACCTCAATTAGTAAAGGTTCAGAACCTCATCAATCGGCTAGCCTATGTTGTCTACTGCCTTTCGCCTGACCCCAACATTGCTCACACGATGATCCCACTAAACGCCATCAATACTACAAAGACACCTATGGTCAAGACTGTATAATTGCTTCGTTTCTTTAACTTTCAACGACCTTACCTCACGCTTCTAACCTCCGAAACGCAGATTTTCAGGGTTGCTCTGCACTGATGATAAGTTTGGGAATAAAAGTGAAGTCTTTCAGCACTGTAACCACCTAGAAGATTGCTGAAGTCGTACCAGCCGTGGTGAGTTGGTAGCTAATGAAATGTAGGATCTATTAGAACTCCTTACCAGTTTGCATCACTTCTGACATGAAAGAGATATCAGATTGCCTGTAAAGAATGAAGTATAGTGCTAAGTAGTGTTCTCGATGTAACCATGTGACTGTAAAAATAATGAAAATGATGGCTAATGTTTGAGATGATATAATCATCGTGCAAAAAAACTAATAGAAGTAGTAGGAAGAAGCAAATCATTCGATCAGGTTACAGCCTTTTATGCCAGAGATATTGTCAAATATAAAGTTACTTCAATAAGTGTGTTTTGTGGTCTAAATAGCTTGTTGCCTAGACCGATTTTTCACACTTTAAAATCATACAGTCGTATTTTTTGTTTGTGGAAGAGAGGGTAGGAGAGAAAGTACTGCTTGCTGTTCAATTGACTGTGTATTGGACTATTTGGTGACTGGGTTTTATGCTTTACGTTAAGACTAGATAAGGTCGATTCACTATGATCGTACGGTGACTATCACAAGATCCAGTTGAATCAACATCAAGGGACCGAACTGCTTTTGGGTGTACTCATCGCATCAATATTGAGATTCACAAACGTTACTAAAGCGATATAGTGATATACAAGGATAAAATAATTATTACCTTACTTTTGAATAAGGATAACCAATCAAGAGTGTGTATAAAGATCGTTAGGCAGCTGATAACATCTTATCAACAGATATAAGGTTACATATATTTTTTTAATCTTCTTTGCTGCTTATAAAGTTCACTGTTGGTCTAAGTTGTGTTAGGTGTAAACTACCTGGCTGGGGTCACCGAGACGATAGAAATCAGTGGTTGAGATCTCTTGCTGAAATGGCTAGAAATTAATCAGAACGGCTCAGACGTTTTCACTCTTTGACATCTTCCAACGCTTGAATGTTTTGAATAACTTTCATTTCCAATTCCCTCTCCTCACATACATTTTTTACTGCTTTGATATCAATCCTTTTCTATCCACTTGTTCTTCTCAAGCAACTGTAAAGTAAGACAACTTTAACCTATTCACTTGTGTGTGGGGTCCTACTTTGATTTTATCTGTCTGTCTGTATATGAGGTTCACTGTATTGCTGAATACCACAAGTCATGTTGTGTTAACACTTGCCACCATAGTCATTTCGTTCATTCGCTATCCTCAACAGTTTTGCCTGGTTTTGATATAAATGGATGATATGTTATCTTCCGTCACATCATCAGACTATCTGCGCAGGGGGTTCTTATTCTTCTAAAATCGGTTAGTTAAAAAGATGAAGAAGAAGAAGAACTGATTATTTCATCACGAGGTTGTTTGAAGTAAACTGATCTGAAAGTTACAGTATGGTAATTGAATCTGAAAAAGGAAATTGTGCGTCGCGGCAGCACTCTAACCAGGGACCTCCGGATTACCGGCCCAGTACTGTACACACTAAACTGCTACAATACCCAACTAAAATCATTATTGTTATTGATCAGGAATTGTATTTACTTTTGATCGCCTTTGGTACTATTAAGGAATGATGTATAAACTTCACTTGTTTTATGCTAATTTTGCTGATGTTTTTCTCACTTTTGCTACCTTGAGTGTATGTATAATTTCATTCTTTTTTAAAATCAGCAAACTATGCACGAATTCTCTTCTCTCTAACTTTATATCTCTCTCACTCTCATATCCACACACACACAGTTCTAATCACTGGTTATATTCTGTTTTTTGTTATCTTACTGTTTATGGTGGTTAGAAGGGAGGATAGATGGCGGTGATAAGTAATAAACTAGCGATATTCATTTATTGAATTATTAAACAACTGTATAAAATTGTAGTCTATTTGGTGGCTAGCAGAGGAATCCAGGACGCACGTTTCGTCCTATTTGGGACTCGTTAGCTGACTTACCCGCACCCCAGTAAGTGTTGTTGTTTCCACTGAGACTTGGACCCAGTACCGATTACTTCAACTGTCAGAGTTGCACTCTATGTGCAATGTATATCAGTTTTTGTTCATTAACATGAGTATCAGTAAACTGTGTAAAATTTTACGACTTTAAGTTGTTTTCGGTTGCGAAATTTTCATCTATGTTAAAGGTGATTATCACCTTTCACTGTTAACATAGATGATTATCAGTGGAGCTGTGGCTCAGTGGTATAGGGAGATGATTATCAATTATCGGGTAACGGTATCGAGCCGTATTTCACCTACCGAGGTTTGGGTAACTAGGTAGTATCAACGATTGCCATCACACAATTAGTGTACATGATTTCCTAATGTACGAATGTGTACAAGGTGGCTGAACGTGTATCGTTTCGTGATTATCGCCTCTATTCACCTGCATTCACACAGTCTTCTTGTAATTATGTTACTATTACTCACGTGTCTTCTTTTGTTATTTCTGAAAACGGTTTTCAACTGTTGTATTTCATTTTTCAATGTTTTAAACACTTTTCTCTATTTTAGAACCAGATTGGGCAAGTCTTAATTTAGGCGCTATGGTTTGTATCAGTTGCAGTGGTATACACCGGCAATTGGGCACGCATATATCACGGATACGTTCTTTACACTTGGATGAGTGGTCAACAGAATCTGTGGCTGTTATGGGTGCGATAGGAAATACACTAGCTAATTCAGTTTGGGAAGCTGCTGTACCTGTAAATGCAGGGAATCGGCGGTGAGTGTAATGTGTGTTATCTTATAGTTGCTTACTGTGTTTTAACAGATTACGATTTGGTATAGTAGTAGTACAACACAATATAATGCTACAATGTGGACCACACATACATTACTACTACTAATAATAACAGTAATAAAGAGAGAAGTCTGTTAAGAATGCAACCGACGTAGATGTCTTTTTTCCTTTGGTTAGGCTTCCTTTTAACATGGTCAACACAAGTAGGCTATACCTGACTATTTTGCCGAACATTTGCATTGTCTATGGAAATCAAATTAGAGGATAGTGGTAGGCCAATACACTCTTGGCCTTTAACAATAATCATTCATTGGACGGCTTCAGATGAATCCTGTCGCTAAGAGACAATCTTTTCAGAGTCACATTCTGTTTTGAGGAAATGTTAGTAGAACTGTGGAGTACACGGTGACATTATATATCATCGGCTAATTAGACAGCAGGTTTGCACCTTCAATGAGACTGTTCATCTGATCTTTTACAAGCTGCTAAATGTTTTACATTACATCACTCATCTGTCTACCTATTTAATTTCATGATAAAGAGTTTGCTGTTGGTTGTCGTTTTCATAATCAGAATTATTCTCTGAAGCCGAAAACTATGAAAACCTTTTTGTTACTACTTAGTTCTTGGCATCCATCTTTTCTGTATGCAGTCGAAATTTCTATTGATAAAATATCTTTCCGTGTTACCTAATTTTTTCCAAAATCTTCCTTTACTACCTTATTACACATATGATTATCAGGAAACCCGATTCATCGAGCTCACGAGAAGAAAAAGAAATCTGGATTAGAGCGAAATATGAACGTCAAGAGTTTCTACCTCCTCTACCGTATCCTGATGCCCCATTACAACAACAATTAATCGATGCTATAGCTCGGCAAGATACACGACAAGTTATACTTTGTTTAGCTTTAGCTACTCCTGAAACAGTAAATGCAGCTTATTCACGTCAAGATCCTCGAGCAGCTATACACATAGCCGCTACTCTTGGGAATATGGTTTATTTACAATTGCTTCTATGGGTAAGTGGTTCATTTTATTCGTGTCTTTTTTTTTGTAATCGCTACTTATTATCTTTATTATTTGTCCCTTGGGTTTCTGGCGCAGCATAGTGCTTCAGTAGCACGTCGCCATTTCACTCTCTTCCCTGCAGTCTATTCAACCTGGCTCCACCACTGCCCACAAGCTTTCGTTTCTTCCTCACATGATCTCCATGTCACCCTCGGATGCTCAACTCATCGTTTCCCATTTGGATTGCACTCGAGTAACTGGCCTGGTGCGTGATGTCCCCGAATGGTCTTCTCAGTGTATGCCCAATCCATCTTCACTTTATGCTGAGTGCGGTGCAGTAGATCTCCACACTGATTTCAGATTAATGAAGGAAGACCTATCTTGCTTTTCCGATCGTGGCTTTGACGTACTCATGAGTGCAACTGCCTGCAGTTGAAACGATGCTGCCTAGGTAGGTGAAAGAGACTACTTCCTTTAGGTTCCTCCCGTTAGTGGTGATTGGTACTTCTTGTTGTTGTTGGTGGTGGTTGGATATCTTCATCACCTCTGTCTCCTCTACATCCACTTGAAGTCCTGACTTTTCTGCTTCGCTTCTGCCAACGTGTTGGTTTTTGCCTGTAGATCTTCGAGTTTGTGCAACATAAGATATCAGACATAAATCATCATCGGCGAAATCCAAATCCTCTCCTGAAGTCTTTTTCATCGGTCCAGCAGCGTATGCTCATCTCTCTCCTCACGGCTTGCTGCATGATCCAGTCGACGACAATCAGGAAGATCATCGATGATAGTAGGCGGCAACCTCGTCTTACTCCTATCTTCACTTCAGCGGCGTCACTGAGCTTTCCATTGTGGATCACTTGGCGTGTGGCGTCTTCATATAGCTGTTGAATGAGATTGATAAAGTTTTGTGCCACTAAAACCGTAGTGTTGAAATAGCTGCCGGCTAAATTACTTCTCGGTCGACGCTGTCGAAGGCCTGTTCAAAGTCGATGAAGTTGAGATAAAGTAAAGAGTTGACTACCATTTAATGATGATGCGTAGCGTTGCAATTTGACCCACATATGATTTGTTGTTCCTGAAGCCAGCCAGCCTGTTCCAGTCATAATTTTGAATCCAGAGCATCTCTTAGTCTCTCCAGGATGATGCGACCTAATATTTTGCTTGTTTGGGGTGGACAGTAGCATGACTCCACACCAGTTCTTGCAAAGGCTTAGATCTCCTTCTTTTGGGATTTTGAGAAGGTATCCCTTCTTCCCATCAATGAGCAGGTACCTTTCCTTCCTTCCTTCCTTCCTCCCAAACCTCTTGAAGTAGTGGTGTGAGCATGTCCGCTGTTGTCTCTGCGTCTGCTCTCAGTGCTTCTGAAAGAATTCTTTCCAGTCCTCCTACTCTCGCGTGCTTCAGCAGCTTAATGGCATTCAGGACTTCACTTCTGCTCTTGTCGGAGGATTTGTGTTCACTGGTAGTTCTGTAACTGAGCTGCAGGTAGTATTTCTGGACGAGTCGCAGGTGGTGGTGGTCGGCTCAAGAGCTTCTCGAAGTGGTCAACCCATCGTTTCCTTTGTTTCTCTTCTTTAGTAACTAGATTTCCTTCATCATCTTTTATGGGTTTCATCTGTGTTGATCTCTTCCCAGATAGCATTTTGGTTGTTTGATATAGTGTCGTCAGGTCTCTCCTACCTGCAGCCTGTTCTGCCTCACTTGCCAGTGTGTCCTAGAAGTGCCTTTTGTCTTTCCGTGTACTCTTCTTCACTTATTTGTCCAGTGTAGTGTTTTATAGGTTGTGTTCAGTTCTTTTTTTCTTTGTTCATCCGTGCACTGCACTGCACTGGTTCATCTTCTGCTTCAACATCTTCCTCTCTCTGCTCTATCAGCTTCCATGTGTCCATCGAGATCCATTCCTTGTCTTGTTTTCTCTTCCTTTCTAGCACGGTTATGCAGGTTTCTCTCAACATAACCTTCAAAGACTTCCAGTGTTGATCCACACAGGTTCCTTCACAAATGTTGCTCAGTATCTCCTATTTTGTCTTGATGGCTGACGTGAAGATGATGTCCTTTGTAGGTTCATCCTTCAGTTCAGTTTGTGTTCTGGGTGTTGAACTTGAACTGTGGTCCATCATCACCAACATCCCTGAAGGCTTTCAACTTGATTTGGAAGGTGGGTTCCTTGCACTAGATAGTGGTGTGAGTGGTGCGAACCTACATCTGCTCTCCTTCCTGATCTGATTTTTTGCCCAGTAGGCTGCGCCTCCACTTTCTTCTCATTGAGATGAAGTCGATCTGATTTTTAGTGTGTCCTGGTGTCTGGTGAAGTGAAATCCATGTCACTTTGTGGATATCCTTGTGCTTGAATACAGTGCCTCACTGCAATCACGACATCGTTGAATGCACAGAAGTCTGCAAACAGTTCTCCATTCTCATTCATCATTTCGCCTAGTGCTTCTCGACCAATGATTGGTTCTCTTCCTGTGTTGTCCGCAACCAGTTTTGCGTTCATGTCACCCTTTAGAATTTTGATGTCATCATCTGGGGTGAGGCTTGTCTAGTGCTGATTGCAGTTGTCTGTAGAATTCCTCCTTCTTGTCTTCATGTGCATTATTTGTAGGTGCATGGTGTTGCATTGTATGATTGTGACTTTGTTTGCTTTTGAGTTGAATACATCTTGCTGTCATGATGCTGATCCTGTCTGATGAGATTGGTTCCCACTGCATGAGAGAGAGAGAGAGAGAGAGCCTTTGATGGTGTTGGGGGAGGGGTATATCATGATAGCCACTCGAGAACTCAGTGTGCTCGTGGTTGTTGTCTGTGTGACAATATCGGAGTAGACTATTGACTCCTATTCAGTTGACAGTTTGGGGAGTCCACTTTCATTACATGTGATTTCTCAGATTCCTGGCCTAGCACTTCTTTGCTATATTTTCTCATCTCTTGCAATCTGGGCAGCCTTGCTTGGTTTAAACATGGTGCGGACATTCTATATCCCCATTTTTAATTTCGCTTTCGTCGCGAGAAGACACATGGGCCACTCCACCTAACAAGATTTGAGCAACCAGGTTTTATCATTTATTAGGTGTGGCTGCTCATTGCCTACTGAAAAAATATCCCTGATGATCTCTGAGAAAACTTCAATTCGACTCCCTGTTCCCCACGTCATGTAAGTTGTCTGAACAGGGTACCTGAAAGAGTAATGGGTTTGCCTTAACGTAACCAGAGTACCTATGAAACACCTATTTAAGACTTGCAACAATGTTTATTTTACGTTTGATACCAATACTCCTTGCCTAATATTTCCACTATTATATGAACACCACTTTGAATTCATAAAGCGATCATCAAGTAAAATCTGACGAAGAAAAACACTTAGATCTCACATCGCTTCTTCGAAAAAAAGGCGTTATCTTTCCATTGCCTCTTGTTCTAGATTTCTAGTGACTGTAGTTTATGACATGGATGTTGAAAACTAATGTGGAAGACAAGAGGATAGTATTGTGTTAATTGAAACGCATACCTAGCGTTCAAAAAATAGTTTGTTTGTGCAATAGTTTCGATGCAGGTATCAACAGTAGGGAAATTAACTCAATAAGAAGTGAATTGATGTTACCTACAACTTTTCATTTACTGCTGAAGGTGTATGAGTGATTATAGCTAAAATATTCGGTAACACTTTTAGACTTATTTAACTCAGCTAATCATAAAGGAAAATAAGAAAAGATGAGGTTATCAACAAACGTACTAACTGGCCTGCTGATGATCAACGCGAAGTTGCAGCCAACTTTCAAGCACTATCTTCAGCCTTCAAATTCAGTTCCATTTGCTTCAACGTGGAAAATTGGGGAGTAATATAACTAATTTCATGTTGTCTAGTACTGAGAGCTGACCGAATTCTATCGGTCGTTTTGCAATGGTACCACCAAGCTAGGAGGCTAAACATCGTGGTGCACTTAGATAGATGTTAGTTGGTTGGAAGCAATCGGCAGGAAGCTATGGACATAGTTTTCGTGTTTGTTTCTAATCCAGTCCTGCAGGAAGTCAATCGCGACCCTAATAGCTCTGTTGTGACATCTCTGACGGCAATACTAGGTGGTGCGGCATGAATTTCAAAGGAGACATCACTTCTCTTTAGATTGCAGATACACCTTCTGACGAGTGCTAACAAACATGGAACCTAGGTCCGAGGCTTCCTGCAGATTTTATCTAACTAACTAACAGTAATATTATAAGTATAGAAACAGTAATTTCCGTTTTTAGCGTAGTACATGACACTAGTAGCAGGTTGAGTTACAATACATGCAGACACAATGATCACTACTGAAAATCACCAGTACGGTCATTTTGAATGATCCTTTTAGTAACAAATTAATCTCATGGTGATAAGAACTTCTCTGATTATTGGTTAACAGTTCTCGAAAATAATTTTACCTCTTAATGTTGCATAAAAAAAGACAGCTAAACTCTTGATACTGTTTTAGTCGAAAGTCCAAGTAAAATAAATTAGGTTTATGCAGGTAATTTAAATATTTAGTTTTCTGGTGCTTTCTTCTAGTTTACTTGATTGCAGCTAGCAGTAGAATCCAGGATGTGCGTTTCATCCTACTCGGGACTCGTCAGCTGGATGTACCTGTATCCCAATGAGGAATATCGAAATATCCCCATAGGGACCTACATACCAACAGAGGTCGATGAATTTAATTCAATATAACAACGGAGAATTACAAGTATATCAACAAATAGTAATGACTTTCTTCTTGGCATTAGAAATATTCTTTCGGAGATGTGGTACAATATGATACTTTCATCAAAACTAAATTTTTACACCTGATATGAAAACAGTCACAGAGACTGGTTACTAGAAGAGAATACTTTACTTTAGTTACATTCTTTTGATTGTAACCAATACAATTTTGTCTTCTAATGCCTTTCATAGTACTGACACATACATTCTATAATGTGGTAATACCACCAAAGTGCATGCATTTTAACTAACATCGTTTAAATGCATCAGTACAAAAGACAACCCGACAATGTTGTAGTCACCTCATTAGTTGGTCGTTATGGGTACTCTCTGACGGATCGGAGTTGAAACAGCGGTTTCCTCTAGGGGTGATATTACAAATTGTATGCAACATAGTGAAAAATCCTTGGTTTCGAACTATGAATTGATTTTTAAGATGAATGGGGATTTTAATTTAGAAGTAGTATTCATCGTGGACTGATATCAGTTGGGTAACCATTGAAAATCTGGGAGCACTGGATAGCTGTTTCGTCCTAGTATGGGACTCCTCAGCAGTACGCACCCATTCATCTCAAAAATACATTACTGTAAAGTGCTCATTAGTGACTTGGTTCCAGATGGATATCACGAATCTGTAGTGAGAAGTCGTGACCTGTGGGGGTCAACCAGTCGGAAGTGAAGCGAATGCTAACTGAAGACCTTGGGTGATAGTCACGCTATATCGTGAATTGACAGAAGTTAAAAATTGTGAACCACTGAAAACTTACCCAGTGGTTGGATGGTTAACGCATTCGCTGTGAAACATGAAGGTACTGAGTTCGATCCCTAGCCGGATCGTGGGTGCCTACTTCTGAGGAGTCCCATACTGGGACGAAACAGATGTCCATTGCTGCCATATTTTCAATGGCTCCCCAACTGATATCAGTTCATAATGAATACTACTTTTAGATTAGTTAATTAGTTTTTATCTGGGCTTCTGTTCGAAAAGAAACCGAACCTAATATGATTAAGTGAGTTGATTCATGAGGCATACCTACCATTACTGGATCTGTTTATTTAATAGAGCACACAATGATACAGTATTAACTACTTGATGACAACGATTTGAATAAGAATGATTGCTCATAATCTTATCAAATTAATCATGCAACTTCTAATATCTAGTTTTTAAAGCTCTATCACATCATAAATAGTTTTTTTCATTGATATATTAGAATCTTCTAAACCTTTGGAATCCGTGTTACATCATTCCTTTTACTTGTATCGGGTGTTGATTCAATTGAAGAAAGACTCATAAATGAACTTCTCTCCATCTATGTTGGAATCAAGTACACTTACTTTTTCCCACCCTATTATATATTTGTCTAGCAGTGCATCCATTGCAATAACTGAGCTCCTTCTAGGTTATTGATCGATTTTAATGAGGTCTGTCTTTCTAACCTTGACCAAGTTCTTATGCTCCTTGAACTTAAGTGAACTTGATCGGCTAGTTTGACCTATGTGTCTAATCCCACAGTCATCACTTTGTGTAATTCGATCAATAGGATTCTTGAGTCGACAGAGTTTATTTCTGAACTTACTCATTATGATCAGCTGATCGGTTGAATAGATAATGTTGTGTGTACAACTGTGTCTAGTCTTCCAAGTCTTCAAGCTCCAACACAAAATTTAGAGACGGGACTTATGAGTAACAATGAGATAACCAATATCCGCAATCTTAACAGATATGTATTTATAAAAATTTCGGAACATGTGACCTTGATGATTTTTGATCTCAATTTTAAGATGTTATGATGATGATGATGATGCATTTGTTATGTTGAAGTCAGAGCATGTCCATAGTTTCTTCACATTAGTGTTAACTCAGTGGTAGGCGCAATCCAGTTTTGTTATGCACCCGAAAGTAAACCAGGGGGATTAGTTATGTTGGGTTACAAAGCAAAACGAAATACCTACAGTGGCTTACATACTGTTGTCTACAGTAGGCCGAAAAAAATTTGACAGGTATCTTGACTTCATATCACCACATCCAGTATCGGTAGAAGCGGGTCTAGTGAGCTGTTTTAATAATAGATCTAAAAAAACTCCTTAGTGAATCAGACAATCAAAATAAGGAAATAAAATATATCTAAAGGAAATACTGCTGAACAACATGTACTCTCCAGAGTGTATTAAGAACATATAAGAAAATAAGTGGTAATCGAATTATGAATAGTGACTGTAACACAAATGGAAAGGAGTTCAAAGTTTCTCTATATAAGAAAATAACAGTTCAACAACCCAATGAAATAAGGTGGTACATTCAAGCCTATAAACTCACTGGGAGGTAAATGCAACTTTCTAAACTGAAAACATATCAGGAGCATTTTTCAAGTTTTTATTCATTTTATATCATTGGATACTTTCTCTTTGCATCCTAAGCACATGAGTTAATTATGTCTAATCTATTGGAACTACTCTGATGAGTGCTAATAATGTAGAATGAACCTACAGTTATTTAATTTCAAAAAATCTACTCTTTGTACTAATTATTAGTTTATATAAATGTATAGATATAATTTATCTGTTCTTTGATTATACAGTATAATGGTGATCCAACTGTAACTGATCACGAAGGAAGAAATGCATTTTATTATGCTCATTGTTCTCAAAAATATGATTGTGCTGATTTTCTCTTACGTAATGGTTGTCCAAAACAACTAGTACCACCTATTCCACCAGCTACTATAGCGCCAACACTTCGTTCCTCTCAGAATATTATATCACAACAGATTGTTCAGTCTCATTCCATAGTTCATGGACCTTTATTACCGACTGGGCCTTCATCCATTGTTACAGATTTGAATGGTGGAAGTAGTTTAAACTCAGGTCTTGTACAACAACCTCATCATTTCTCACACCTTCAACAACATCAATCGTCGTCTACTGCTTCTGGTATGCCAAATCATCTAGGCGGTCAGTTACCTTCGTATCATCCCATGACCTCAGGTTCTGTTACAGCAAATCAACAGATATCTCAAGGTATTTTTTAAAATCTAATCTGTAATATTTAATTTTTTGTCTACTGATTAATTTAATTACAACTACTTCAGCCGATTATCCATTGTTGCTCAATGCTGATTCAGATGTGATATACCTCCCTCCTTTTATTGGTTATGCTTTGTATAGTATGAATTGAGACGTCATCTTGAAAACGGTTGAAGACCTTAGAGCACTTGACAACCATGTAGACACGGATACCCATAGATAGCTGGGCGATGATCAGGAATTCAACATGGACATAGGACCAGACATTACTGCATAACAGCCCAATTTGCTACATATCATATCACCATATCAAAAGAGAAGTCACTAAGATCAAAAATAAATAAATAAGATTCACTCAAAAGCAGTACACAGTAGTAAAAAGATAGGAAGGAGGAATAAGAAGATATTGAATTCAGGATGATGGTTAAGATGAGGATAATATGTGGATGCGTCTCTACACTTTGATCATTTCTTACTCATGTCATCTTGAGTTTCTAGCTACTCGTTTCTGTTGTCACGCCAACCCTAACGGAGAAGTCTGCATTTCCCCACATGGCTAGTACCAACAGTTAAAGACTTCACGAATTCGATGAAATTGAATGGCATGGACTATTTAATTCGAACCCAGGGACCAAGTGATAACTTGTTCATCGGGAGATCTAGGAGTTCTAATTTCCATATGTCACCGAGTGTAAGTGTACACTGATAAGAAGTTCCAGACTAGCACAAAACAGGTATCTATTCCTCTTCGGTTTTGAATGACCCTCTAGTTGTGTTATCTTCCCACTTTTCGGCTCACACATACTTGTATTTCTTAGTCAACTCATCATGCTATCAGCAATTTTATTCTCTCTAATCTTTCACTGCTTAACACATGCACTGTCTCCTATAGGGTAGTAAATCGAAATTATCTATCCCAATCGTTTTGTTTTGTTTCATCAATTCTTCAGATCATGCATAGGCTTCCATATAGAAAAATTGTTGAGCATTCTTGGGTTAAAAATGTCAAAAGAGATCAACTGGGGTGGGAAGACTGTATTTCAAGGGGATCGCTGAAGGAAAGATAATAATATATTGATATAACTTCTAGATTGGGATCCACTTCAAAAGCACTTTCTGTAATAACAAATTTGTTTTAGATTGGTTTGAATCCTTCATCTTTGACATGTTAAATCTTTTTATAGAAAATATCTGATACTTAGTTGTAAAGGTATTCCATTATTTTTCGATAATATTATGTATGATTTCCAGGGTCGAATCATCCTGTTGTTTCAGGTTCTGGAACTCTGTACACTGGAAATGTAAATCAAGCTCTTGGGGCTACACTTCCGCGTCGTCGTGCACCTGTTGGTCCGTTCTCTTCAAATGCAGCACCTCCAACTCTTCAACCGTTTCTACGACCAAACGTACATCAGCAAATTTCTGTTAGTACTACACATCGACCAACATCTTCAGTTATCCCATCAGTTACTCGTCCTATAACACCCAGTGCTGTTATGCTTCGAACATCTTCTATTAGCTCATCCCAGCCACCGCATACACGTTCAAGTTCTAACACTACTGGGAATTCATCAACATTGACTCAACCTTATGTTTCTACTAGTCAAGAAGTTGGTCTTTAAAATAAGCAGGAGAATAAAATCAATGTATTTTATATAATGCGCCCCGTTGTGTTTTCTATGTGTATATTCTCCTAAGCGACTGCATTTATTTCACTGGCATATACCTTCATTGATGAGGTAGACACATGTACTAACTTGATTGTAAGCTTTGAACTTAGCTACAGTTTTGTGTGCAATATTATAAATGAATGGAACTAATGATCATTTACATTGTCTTCCAGTTAAATTATTATCATTATCATCATTAGTAATAATAATAATACTCTACCTTTATAACTGACTTTACCTCAGGATATATGCATATCTATATATTCATCTCTGGATGTGTTGTTTATTTCATGTAACAAATAATACTAATAATAATACTACTTACATCCTCCAATTGGCTTCCCATCATACTTCCGTTTTGTATTTCTTCTGTTGTTTTTTTTCTACGCGAATAAGTGCTTGTTAACTTTTCACTCACCTTTGACTAAACTCTCATGTGTGTTTGTGTATTCACTTACGTACACACAAAGCAGTCTTCAATATGTGTATATGGATATGTATGTACTCACATACAAAAGCAGCGCTCCGCTGCTTTCCAGTCGGTTTACATGTGTGCAGACAGTAGACGAATGTTTGTGGTGTGATGTGTAATGTACTAGTAAATCTCACCGCTGAGTGTACAATTTTCTTTCCTCAATGTATAATTTTATTATTATTACTATTACTATCATTATTATTCTCGATAATCTTTAACTAAAAATGACTATTGATAATTGTACAAATATACAACACCTTATCTTCAATGTTTCTGTCCAACTTTGTTTTATTAAATACTATTCGAATAAAATGTTAATTTATGGCATGGCCTTTGTGTATGTGTGTGTGTGTGTGTGCGTACACACAGTATTTCTCTTATACTCGTACTTTGCTTCGATGTGTTTTGTTCTTCATTTGTAAGTATAAATGCAAAATATCCCTTCGTTTCATATTCGCTCTCATCTCTGTTGTATAATCATCCATCGCTCCATTCTATAATGGTTATTTATTTGTTCATATTGTGATTTCTTATTTTCACTGAAGTAAGGAATCTCTCTCTCTGTCTTGACACTTCAGTGGAATGGAACACTGGACAATAATTAATTAATCTATCACGTAAACCTGTTGGTTCTTTTCTTTCTTTCTCTGTAATATTATTACATTCTGTGTACACACTGAATAATTGTCTTTGTTATGATAAAGTATGTGGTGTGAGAATACTCTGTGTCTATTTCGCATGTTTGAAAGTTTACACATTGTATGCGCTAGCTAAAGGATAGTTGAAATGATGAAAGTCGAATTAGGCATGTATCAGCGAAGAAATATTTCCTTCCAACCAAGAAATATTTTGAGGGGGTTGTGGAGATTTGGAAATATTTCAAGTTGTTATTCATCGAAGACTGACATCAGTTGGAGGAACAAAGGAAACCTGGGAGCACTGGACAGCTGTTTCATCCTAGTATGGGACTCCTCAGCAGTGTGCACCCACCACCCCACCAGCAGGGATCGAACCCGCGACCTTCAGGTTCCGCGACCAGCGCGTTACCATTGAGCCACTGGGTCAGAATCCAATGCTCCATATTTCAAACTTCTGTTAGTTCACGATATAGCGCAAACCGCCACCCAATGTCATCGTTGAGTATTTTTCCTCACGGCCATCAGGCTTTGACTCCACCGGTCACGACTTGTCATTGGAACTTCGGGAATACTTCTCGAAGCTAGTCACCAACGAGCACTAGTTCAATTAAATTTTGAGGGGGTTGTGGAGATTTGGAAATATTTCAAGTTGTTATTCATCGAAGACTGACATCAGTTGGAGGAACAAAGGACGAAACAGCTGTCCAGTGCTCCCAGGTTTCCTTTGTTCCTCCAACTGATGTCAGTCTTCGATGAATAACAACAAGAAATATTTCTTCGCTGATACATGCCTTGTTCTTGTTAATGAATAAATGGGTATATTTCGTCAGTTGAAAGTCGAATTGACAACATAACTTGAACATTAGTTGATTTTTTTCAGAAACTGAGCATGCACGCATGAGAGCTCATCTACTAACCGATGTTGAACAATTCAACCCTATAAAGTAACGGAAATTACAAGTATCAATAAACATTACACTAAGTGGTGGCTCTCATGCCCCAGTGACCCAATTGATAACGCTTTGATCTTTGAAGCGGTGGATACAGGGTTCGAGTCTCAGTGGGACTAACATCACTCACTAGAGTCCAGGTACATTCAGCTGACGAGTCCCAACAAGGACGAAACACTCGTCTTGGATTCCACTGTAAGTTACCGAGATGAATACAACATGTTGACTCCGAATGACATGAACTGAGTGTCAAATTCATTCCAGGAACGATATGAGTAGGAATGATGTAGGAGTTAAAAATATCGCATAAGATGTTACTGAAATGATTTCTAGAATAACAAATAGTCTGTTCAGTCTATAATGGCGCTTCCTAACCATTGTTGAAATTCGATTGTTTACTGTTGTATTAGTACAGAGGGTAAGTTCTGCCTATCCATTTCCTGTACGTATTGACCAGTCCTATTTGTATGTTGTACATATTCTTGAGTCTCGAGTTTTAGAAGATGAAATTGTAGTTCCTATTTTATCCATCTCAACTATCAGACAATCGTTTCAGTGTTATATATAACGCTCATCATGTTAAACAGTCTGTTTATTTGTAGTACTAAGTTCAGTAGTAAACATCATGTTAAAAACTCCTAAAGTTTTAAGTAAACATACTTGAACATATAACGATAAAACCTAGTAGCGATACCTAATGTATTTTCTTTTGTCTCAAATGTCATTGGTTAGTAGCACTTTAGACGCTGTTGTTAGGAAGCGACGGGGATTAGAAGGGGTTGACCTCCCAAATATCACACTCCTTGCCCTGTGGTCTTCCGCTGGCCGCGGTATAGGTTTTCTCTGTCCGGCGTTAGAAAAATGAAGTCGCAAACCAACATTACTTAAGGCTATCTATATAGGTCTCCAACAGATATCCCAATGACCTCTACGGTCACATCTTTTTCTCTTTTAGATACTCAGCACTAACTTCAGGCATAAGAAGGAGGCATTGTCTCACGTAGCATTCACCGACATCAAACCAACGATGGGCACAGTTCATATTGCTGCAATTCATCGTTAAAGTGTCTTTCCACTTCTTCTGGAAGGTGAGAACAACAAGCATTTTATTTAGGTAGTGAGGCATTTATCTGAATATGTTAGCAATACTCATTCTGAAGAAACCCGATATGATATTAAGTCTGCTGTAGAAACACTAATAAGCACACTTAATGTCAGTGAATTTCCGAGAGGTCATCCGAACTGACTGATTCCAGCTGGCTCTGACCGCAATGAGGAGTGAAAGCAACTGAAAATTGAATTGACCAGTAGTCTTTGCAGTGATCGCGAGCAGTGGTGAAAGTGAGAGAGATGGCATGAGTGCTAATTAATACTTGAGATTTCTTAAAGCTTATTATGGATACTGGCAAGAAGAAGCATATGGGGTTAGTGAAACCACCAGCGAAAAGGATGGGACGCAGGTGACTTCTCATGACAGCCTGTTATAACTTTGGGCGAAACACAAAGCACAGTTCAGCTGGGCCACAACAACACTTCCGTTGCCCAGGATCCAGCCTGAACCTCAATAGTACGTAGATGTCGGTCGTCCAACTGTCCTCGAATTTGAGAATACTGTTTCAAACCTAAAGAGATGTCAGACAGTAGCACCTGATGATTTACCACTGCAAGCTTTTAACGATGGAAATTACTGATTAGAGTAACGAAGGCACTAGGTGGCGTATGAGAATTAGAGGTGGTGTCGTCAGACTGGTCTACTTCAATGATCATTCCAATGCATAGTGAGGAAGAGAAGTCTCGTGACAACCATAGAGGAACCAGTTTGACGAATACCGTGTCCAAGATCCTGAGCTCCATATCCGACGCCTAACTGGTACTTGAGAACAGCAAACTCGAGAAAACTAGGCAAGTTTCAGACAGCTGGATAAGGGTGCGTTGATCACATATTTACCCTCTGACAGGTTCTGGAACAGGCATACCTACTGTGCAGTGGCCGACACTTGCCATATTTGTTGACCTGAAGGCGGCATTTGACTCAGTCGCCCGTGACATGTTGTGGTAGTTTCTGAATGTGAAAGGAGTATCGAGCAAGTATATAACTCTAGTCGAAGCTCCGTAGGAGTTTATGTAGAATAATCATAAGAATTGACAACAACTAGTGGTCTCTGCCAGTGATACCCACTGTCACCGTTCCTGTTCAACTTCGTTATAGGTGTTTTAAAGGACAACCTTAGGTACGTCTGATTTCACAAGGACTGATCTGCTCCCTGAAGGTCATCTGCTTGACGATATTGTCCTGCTGGGTGAAGACGCTGTTAAATACACTGTCTTCTACACTCACTGAGCAGTAATCTGAGGAGGGCAATCATGTGTGAGCAAAAACTATTTTGTGCATTATGCACCTGAATGTTATCGTGATCTGTTTAAGGCATAAAAACATACTTTTCTAAGGTAGAATTCATAGTAGATTTACATCAGATGGAGGACCACTGGATAGCTGTTTCGTCGTAACATGAGACTACTCAGCAGTACGCACCCATAACCCCGTCAGGAATAGGACTAAGGACCTTCAAGTTAACCCTTCATCACTGGTTTGGAGTTCACAGTTTCCAACTTCTTTGAACAAGTGTTATCATTTGCGCCATTTTGACCGATTATCATCTAAATAATCAAACGTCTCTGATCACTGATTTCTATCGACTTAAGAATCGCAGGTAAACAGTCAACATGAAGAGACTTCATGGACTGGTACCACTTCTTGGATAATCTGTCTAGGTGATTTATATTATGTCCTGCATATGTAAGCGAAATCTGCGTCCAGTATACCAGATAACATTAGAAGCAACAAAAAATGGCTATTAAGAAATATCGCTATTGTGTTTCATACTCATTTTGACTGCTTAGTATTGTCTCTTCACTAACCGTGAACTGAATTTGTAATAACTTATGTGAATTAATTAGCTTTTGTGTTGGTAAATATGCCTGTTCTGAGTGAGTGATCGATTTAACTTTTAACCATTTATTTAAGTAAAGTGATATAACTTTATAAAGTTAAGATTTTGTTATATTCAGTGGATCAATTGGTTGAACCGTTTTATCATTTTCAAGTGGAATGATAACAAATATTGATCAGCGGGTATTTTTGTCTAAAGAATGGAAAGCGTATTGCCTATGTCATTCTATACAATTGATGCGAACATAAAGTAAAGATAAGGAAATCACTGTAGAACTTAGCTCAGGAATGCAAAAAAAAGAGGACTGAAGGTGTATACATCTGCTCCACTATGATTGATTTGAATCTATAGATTCATATGACTTCAAAGAACTCAGTCAGGTAGTCTACACATCCTTACATGACTAAAGCTGGTAGTCAATGTCTTCATGGACTGATGCTTAAGTCTCGATCTGACCACCCTTAACCTTCTCCCAAGCCAACCCTAGTTCGGCCAATATTTCACTTCGTTGTAGATGGTGAGTCGGCAAGAAATGTTCAAGACACCTCAATTACTGTTGGTTCTCAGCTTTATCAACTAACCTGCTTCACTTGCCTAATAGGCTACGCATAACTTCGACGTTATTTATATTGGGATTCCACCACACATGAATAACAATACGAATACACCAAATATCGAAAACTTGGATTTTTTGCTTATTTCTTCTTAGTAGCCGTTTCTCACAACCGTATAATGAAGCAGGCTGTAGCACAATACGCTAGTCATTTAATAGGTAGTCGGTTATGTCACCGCCGCCAGAGATGATGTAAGTCGAATCTTTTGTTCCTGAGCTGAAATTTCATGGGCAACTTGCCGTTGCAGGCAAGCTGCATGAAGTGTATTAGAATTGGTGTTGATCACTGAACAAATATTGTCTTCAATTCTTATTCTCCTCTAGTGAATAAATGAATTTTCGAAGAGTTTTAAATCGACTCATTTCACTTCCTGTTTTACAGTACAATTGGAAGTAGATTAAATATCTCACTAGTTGCAGTTGTGTGTTGTTTTTAAATCAGATATTCTTCACAAATAACCAGTGATAATTAGTAACATGCTTCGGGATAGATTTTCTTAGCTTCTAATGACAGAATTAGTGGCATGTGTTGCTAACCAACTTGAAAGTGAAGACAACTAATCAC